GTGCTTAATTATATAAAATTTATTAATATTAATCATATGATAAACCGAGACGAGACACGCGTGTAATTAATGTTTTAATATGAGACGCGTTGTAATTTTTTTCGTGTATTATTTTTATAGAATGATGTCTCGGTAAAACTCGACCTTGACAAGGTCAAGTCGTTGTTAAACGTAATACTGTGGTTTAAACACAAAAGTTGATTTATTATTTTACATTTATCGATTAAATTGTATGGTCATTACGGAAAATAGAAAATTTTACGAGTGATGAATACGAATACAAATTATTTTTTTCATGCCTTTTATAATACAATATTCGTAAGACTATGGCATTTGCAACTGTACTGAAATATTGGAAACTCAAAAATCTTAATCGTGGTAAAAATAACGTATTTGTCTTATTTAATACAAAAACTACATGTAAATAAACTGTTCAAGGAGTTTTTACACGTTTCTAGAGACAAGCCATTAGAAAAGAAGAAGAAATTAAATAATTCAAATTTAGAACACATTGTCGACGACATCACTTTTTTATATAGTCTGTTTCTGTACATATTTTGTCATTACATAATGTCTCCGTTAAAGTAGTTTTATTTCTAAATCTTTTACGATATACATAAACACTGCAAATATTTCAAAAGAGTAACACCCGCTACCCGCTAGGTAACGCATTGCATCCTCTCAGGCATTTAGTTTTATGAGTCCCAGCCGCACGAGCTCGCATATTGTTTGCACCACGTTATTACACTGCTCCACATAACAATGCCTTATTTCGCGTGAAACAAGTTTCATTTAAAACAAAGATTGCTTTAAACACTGTATATAGTGTAGATAGATTCACAACCTATTCAATTTGTATTGAATTTTGCAATAATTTATTCCAATGACAATAAGGAATTAATGAATATAACACGTAAAATGATTTACGAAACTAAGCTATTGTAGAAATAAAATGTTACATATCTCTTAAATAATTTGATACATCGCCAAAATGTAAACATAGATCTTTAGATCCATTATGCAATTAAGGTTTTATTGACGTAAAAACGGCTTTTCAGACACAGTGAAGATAAAATTAACCCATTGCAGCCGCCGACGTTCAATTTCAAATTGCCTTAATGGCTTTCAAATTGCCGGCCTATTACGTGTCGATTGTCACTGGCCATCGAATGCTAGATTGTGTTTTTTTTTTATCATCTGTATCCATCCGCGAAATATACCCGCGCACGACCTCGACCAAATCTGAACCGAACTGGTATTCATTTGGATAATCAACGTTCTAACGTCCAAATGCTTACTCTGTCGTCTGAAGAACAAAAGAGTGAGATAGACAGAATTTTAACGATTCCGCCTTTTGTTTATAAGCAATTGTGTACTACAATTGTTTTTCCCACTGAATACAATGCAGCTGTTTATAATCACAAAACATTTTTGACATAAAAAAAAATTAATACATGTCTTTTGTATTGAAATTAGAAAAACATGTTTCCTTGCTAATTTAAAACAATGAAGGTGTACATAAGCTTTAAATAATGTAGTTGTAATTGTATAAATAGATTGCATGACATTCTGAGAAAACTTTTTATGTCTTTATACCGAAACAAAAAAATCACTTCGTTCTAATCTAAGTTAATATATTTACGTGCGGTTTGCGGTTACCCACGTGCGGTAATCATCGCTTTAGGCCAAGTACAGTTGTCAAGTCGGACTTCGCCTCTGTGGTTTATTGTCCAACCACATTCATTTGTCTAAATTGAAAGGGATAATATAGTACCGATTCAATTTAGAATGCGATTAATTTGCTAGTAGCAAAGTAACTTTGTAACAGAAATTGAATTTTTGTAAATCTTTTTAATTAGTGGCAATTAACATAGAAAAACAATGCAAAAGTAAACGGCAGCGTTGGTCCAGTCTGTCCCAGAGTACTTAAAGTGTCTTTTTTGGATAAAGGGCACCAGAAACCGATGTGCTTGTAACATAAATGCGTGATTTAAGAAGAAAGGAAGAGGAGGAGAGAGAAATCACTTGCCCAAAGGGGTCTATGTTATCTGTCTACCTCTCTGGATTACAGCCTTATATCAAACCGTCCATAATGGCGCAATCTACTGTTATCACAACATGTTTTTCACCATATCTTAGATAAACCTTAGTTAAACCACAAGGAAACGAATCTCGCAAAGTTCCGCCCCCACTAGTTGCCCACGCGGCGTATAAACGAGTCTTCTAGTTTCACACGAGAGCTGAACAATGCAGAGCAGTGGACAATAATAGTACTACTGTTGCACATTTAATTTACCGTACGGCTCGTTCTCTACGAGAGTTGAAGAGCAGTTGTACTATATTGTACTATCTCATTTGTTCTTCCCATGTGTGAACTTATAGCGGACACTCGTAAACGCGAATTGAACGATGTCTTAATTCGGACAAATACCCTCTATTTATAGATACGAGGGAGCATGTCCTGACTCCTGACACGCAGTCTCCACTGCACATGTCAGTAATTTTATTATACTCAACGTTTGAATGGATGTCTTATCTGAACTCGTAAACAGACTGATGCTTTATAGTGAAAGAGACAGAAGTAAAAACAACTGCCCTTTGTAGTAATGGAGAAAACCTGGATAAAAATACGTGATACCCACAAACACCAATCTTACTAATATTATAAATGCGAAAGTATAGATGGATGGATATTAGAGTTTGTAGTCAAAACTTCGCTAGTCGGAGAGGCACTTTAAGAAGAAGAAGTCAAAACTACTGGCCGGGTCTCGATTTGGCATAGCTGTAGACGATAGTTTGGAAGAACACGTAGACTTGCTTTTGTTTTCTTTAATTCTACGAGTACGGGGTGCGGGTGAAAGCTAGTGTTATAACACCTATTATAGTATTGTCTCTGATTGTGGCAAACTTTTAAAGCGATTAACGTCTTGTCAATAATGTTTACATCACTAGAATTATATAATACCCTCTGGTATCTCATCAGGTATGTATTGCTTTATGCCAATGACTTACTAGCTGTTGCTCGCGACTTCGTCCGCGTAAAATACAGCCTATATTACTTACTGATAACGTAGCTTTCTAATTGTGAAAGAATTTTTGAAATCGACCAATAGTTTTTGAGTTATTTCAATACATACAAATTACAAATCTTTCCTCTTTATAATATTAGTATAGAAGTATAGATGACAATTAACATTTGTCGAATTAGTTTTTTTTTTTAATTTAAGTGTAATGGTTTTTTAATATTGGTAGAAGACTAAAACTGTATCGTTTGAAGCGAAGCTTTGAGTATCGTGGTTGACTGATTGCTTCAAAATGTATGTCAATGTATGCTGATGAGAAAACTTCAAGCGCTGACACTCGAGGGAATAGTTAGGCTAACCGCGCCCCAACTAAGGTAAGGTATTAATTAAAAAATTCCAGCGCATCAAAGCAAGAGTGGATAAACTTTTACGTGCTGTAAATATTTCACGAGACCTAGTATTTTTTTTTAAATACAAGTTTTATTTAAATTGAGGTTATTTTAATTCATAGAGTGATTTTATCCACTTTAAGCTATGTAGGTCTCTTTGTAGGGTTGGCACCTCTTTAGATATGACGAGGATTCTCCGGATTCGTATTAGACGTATTCTAGCTAGTCTTGGGGCCAGAGTAAGACCCAAGATTCTAGTAAATATTCGCAGCTCTACATTTAGATTCATTTGTTCGTTACGGCCGAATACTAATACTCAAATTAAATATGTAACAGCGTCTTAAATAAGAGCAGGCTTAATCTACTAATTATATTAAAACGTCGGATCGTAAGCAGTGCTTAAGAAGCGAATTTTTTAAATACATAATGTCCTGATTCTCTGGAAGATAAGATGTTAAGTTTGAATCTTGTAACGCAACTTCGTAGAGGTTTCAAAGCTATGGTTATCACAAAGAAACTGTACCCCGGTAGTTTCATAACGGGTAATACCGCGACGTTTTGAAGGCCGCCGTCTAGTGTCATACAAGTTGCAAGTTTAAGTTCACCAACCAGATGTAGATGTACTTTTATCATGCTATAAAAATAGGTCGTCCGTGTGAAATTCACCGCAGACGGGTTAAATTTACGGATCGCCGAATTCAAGCATAAACGTTTGTGACACCGCTTATGTTGTTTGCTTACAATATTTTGTAAGGTGTAAGTTATGTTAAAATGGTCCGGGAGGATGTTGCCATAGCGTGGTCCTATGTTGCTATAACGCTGCGGAACATCGAGGAATGTCCTGTATTGTGTCGTAAAGTGCCGAAGGTTCTGGTGAGTTCCACGGAAATCCCAGAACCCTCTACTATTGCACTAGAACCTGGCCACCGAGGGGGTTTTAGTGGGTACAAACCTGACATAACCCTGTCCCCCAGAAGGAAGGGTATCTTTTTGAAGATTTCCTCCCGATGCAAAAAAAAAGGCGTAAGTGATGTTGTTATCATGATTTTTCCAAGTTGTGTTTTAAGTCGAGGTAGAGAAATTCCTTGGAATTATTATTAGTCGACTTATTAGGAGTGGGAATGTAGTCAACAAAAACAGTTCTTTTGTATACATGTCTAAATTTTTTTACAAATGTTGATAATTTACGCTTGTTTAAATATTATGTTTATTCAAGTGTTGCTTAAATTACGACTTGTAGAGTCTTTTGAATTTAAGAGCGATGTATTGTATAGTTACTTATTAATAATACTTAATTAATAAAAAAAAACTTTACGGAAATTAACAGAAGAATAACAAGCTGTCATTTTTGTTTTACATAATGAAAATGTTATGTAACCATATACAAAAAAATATAGGAACTTTTTGGATTCAGAATTATTTGTAAAATTACTGCTAAAATATTTACACGTTTTAATCATTTTTGGAATAAAATAACGAACTTAAATATGTAATATTGATAGTGCGAATTCTGTAGAATTATTTTTTTTGCTTAGATATGTCAACATATATAATAGTGATGTTACCTAATCAAGGAGCTACAACTCACCAGCACTGTGTGGTGAGTACGGTTGCCTCGGTGCACCCACTGAACGTTAGAAGTGTTTTCTTGTAATCCACCACAGGGTATCGTTACATTCGTACCCTTATCAGCGGCTACTTCCCGGATATCAACCTGATCAGCGAACACCGGCGCCAACACTAAAAAAAACATACACCACTATTATTCGTATATACTTAAAAACACTCGGTTCATCGAATTTTAAATTATTTACCTTCTAATCCAAGGCAGAACAGAGGCACCAATACACGTTTTAGATACATCCTAAAATGTCTACATTTAAATTCTACAATCGAACACAATCTCTACGTACTGTAAATTAAAAAGATTCTATCTAACTAATTTAATTACATTACACAGAAATATCTAAAGACGAAAGGCGAAATATTAGGAAACAAATCTCACAACAAACGTCTGCCCCTCATTGATGCAAGTCATAGACTAAAAAATTTAAATGTCACGAATAGTTCGCTCGAATTTTTATTCGCCTCCTCTTTCAGCTGGGATAGAGATGTTCTGGTTGGTCTATATTTAACCGACTCGATATTTTGTAAATACTTACATCTCATTTACTTACATTAAAAATAAATTCAAAGTGTAAAGACATTTATAACATTTAACATTTATGTTGCAGTCAATTCATCTATTTTGACCCTTAAGTGTTTTGTTGTTTTTATTGTAACATGCTATGTAACTTTATCAGATAGAATGCTTAGATAAAGAGTATGTCATTGAATTTTTCATAAACGTTTAAGTTAAAATGGCGTATAATTTAAGGTACACGCAAAACAGAATTAGTACCAAGATTCAGCATCGTCGGTACATTCACAAATTACACATCACTATTGCGGAGTGTTGCCATTTTATTGCAACAGCTGTCAACAATAGTCTATGATTCAGATTAGACATAGACAAAAATATAGATTTTCTTCGGACATGGCCGCTGTATCGGCAATACAACACCTGCAATGTTTTGTATATTCAAATTCATTTTTTATAATGAATAGAGAGTTTTTTACTTATAAGTAGTGATTAGTGGCTTGTATATAGTGCTGTGATATTTGTAATGGATGCAGAGAGCGAGTACGAAATAAAGAGAGCTCGTGATGCAATACAGATGATTGAGACCATTCAGTCTATGATCGACGTTTCAGCGGATAGGCTTGAAGGTTTAAGGACACAATGTTCTACGAGTGCGGAGCTTACACAGCAGGAGATCCGAACGCTGGAGGTAAGAATATTTTAGTTGTAATATGTCATCGAAACATTATGTGCCCTTGAAATATTTCCAAGGCCCGGTCTAAGGACTCCGTTCTACTCAGCTAGGTTGCGTAGAAAGTAAATTCGACGCGCACCCTTGATCGTTAAGTATGTATTTGGTCGATTTCCCGCTGCTAAGCAGGTTGTCTCTTTTGAATTGGCGGCTTTTACAAGTTTTGTACCTAACGGAAAATGTTTTTTATTCTTTATTGTAATTTTGGGTCTGGTATTTGTTCTAATATAATGTATGGATAGATTCTTTCAGTTATAAAACATAAAACAAACTTTTTCTTGTACTTACATTTTTCTTTAAGAAATCTTACTGAAGCTCTCATTGTTTTTAACCTGTTGCTAGTTAGTGTAATGTCATTGATATTTATTTATAAGTAAATATTATTTTTTTTTAAAAGCAATAAACATATTACACTTATCACTTAGATAGATACAAGTTGAGCTATAGATTCAATAGATAACAAGTTATATGTGCCCTTGATTAATCATAAAAATTGTTGTTAAAGAATCCTGTATTAAACATTATTGTAAAAAAGACACATTTTAATCAAAAGACACCATACTAAAATTTTTGTTGTCAATGTTCAAGAAAAGCAATGCTTTGGAGAAAAAGAAGGTAACATGATAAACTAAATTTAGCATTGTATAATAACCTCAAGCAAGATTTCTACAATTCCCCCTAATTATAATACAAACCCATATGAAAACATGCTTATAGCATACCTTAATATTCAATGACTTAGGCGGTCACTCCACCTTACTGGTGTTAGAGTAATGGAAATAGTAATACTTTTTTGTAGTTATTCTTGAGTATGACTATTTTGTCAACATCTAATATAATAAATTATAACATAAATTAACATATTAAAAATGCACTTATTGTACATATCTATACTAATAATTTAAAGAGGAAAGATTTGTATTTTTGTATGTTTTTTTTTTCATATAACATAAGGTGGCAAACAAACATGTATTGAAATTATTCTTTCACCATTACTAAGGCAATTTATCTGTGAGTAACATGGACTGTATATTTGAATTTCATGCATATGAAGTATCTATACTAATAGATTTATATTTTTGTATGTATTGTTATAACTCAAAAACTACTACATTGATTAACAAAATTCTTTCACCATTAAAAAGCTCCCATATCAGTGTGAAACATAGGCTATATTTTTTAACCTTACATGGGGAAAGTTGAACATAAACGCTAGTCTTATAAATTAATATTCACCTTTGTAAGCTTAATTTGACTTACTAATTAAGTATAAACAATATTCACTGAATGATGTCATCAGATTTGTATCAAATTATGTGTCATCAATAAGTTTAAAATGTGGATATCTATATCTATACTAATATTATAAAGAGGAAAACTTTGATTGTAATGAATAGGCTTAAAAACTACTAGGCCGATTTTAAAAATTCTTTCACCGTTAGAAAGGTAATTTATCCGTGAGTGTCATAGGCTATATTTTTTCATTTTTATATTCATCATCATCATCATCTCCTTGTCCTACACCCGTAGGGTCGGCGCAACAGGTTTTTGTCCTCCACATAACTCTATCATACGTCACCTCAGTCATCACTCCCTTTTTGATCATGTCACCTTTTACACAATCCATCCATCTCTTTCTAGGTCTACCTCTACCGATGTACCCTTCCACACTCATAACTAACGTTCTCTTTGTAACATGCGATTCATCCCTCCTCACAACTTGCCCATACCATGCTAACCTTTTACTCCTAACCTTCTCTACTATGGGGGCTACTCTCAAACTTCCTCTAATATACTCATTTCGTATATTATCCATTCGTGTTACCCCACACATTTTTCATTTTTATATTGTTATTTTTAAATTTCACCCAGATGGAGTTGTGGGCAAAAGCTATAATTTATAAACTTAATATGGACTTCATAAGAAAAACAATAATTAAGTAACACCTGTTATTAAATCTATCAGAAATCTGCTGATTTGTACATATTATTGATAATGTTAATTCATAATGATCGTGGACATACCACCACCCTTAAACCCACAATCCACTAAGTTCTAGTGGAAATAAGATTTATGACTTTATAATGTCAACATTCAACTAGCTGATAATTGGTAAATGTTGATATCAGCATATTCAAATGTGGAAATTATTTCTAACTTGATATTAGGATGACAATTACTATTATGAGTTTATCTCAACAAAATATCTTGATAACATAGAAATGTCTCTATGACTCATTTATATAAATATTATGTAGGAATTAATTAGTTACTAGAAAGTTAGCAACCCTAACTGTTAAGGATTTCTTAACACCCATGGGTTTTATTGACAGGATTAAATACGGTAGTTGCAGGATGCGCTCAGTGACGCAGGGATGAGTAACGCGTTATTGTTCGATGTCCACTTGTTTCACGCCTTATTGTGCTACAGTGCTAGGCTGTTTCCTATAGACATTTATGATATACAACTATTCATATCTACTATAGACATGTCTGGAAACAAAGTGACAAGTATTTTAGTTCGCGATGACGTTGAATCTACTATTTTACTATTTTCACAATATAATTCTGGTTTATCGTAAGATTTATATGATATATATGTCGTTCTAAGATCCTCTTTTAAACAATGCGATAATCACCAGTATATTCCATAGAACTTATGCCATTGGGAAATGTAGTACAAAAATTGATGTCTCAGTGTTTGTAACCATACCTATTATGTTCCAGGGCAAGCTGGTAAAGCACTTCTCTCGGCAGCTGGTGTTCAAAGCGCAGTTCGGGGAGGAGCTGCAGAGAGAGTTGGGCGACGTGCCCTGTCTGGCGCAATGGCTTCGAGTCGTCGGTCTCAGTCCACATGCCATCGAGGTACACTCTCTTCCTAGTCAGCTATATGTCCGCACCGAGGGGCTCGGAGCCTACATTAATAAGGGGTCACTAGGCCCTAATCAACCAAGTCTAGTGTGGGTTGGTTGACTTTACATATATCTTTGAATTTCTTCGCCGATATAGGCATCACGATGTTTTTCTTCACCGTAAGAACGTCGGGTAAAATATGTACACATAAATTTCGAATTTTCAAATTCACATTGGTTAATCTTTGTATTTCGTATGGTAACTGAATAGTGAAATGTGTTTTTAGGCGGTATGTTCCCGTGTGGCGACGTTGGAGGCGCTACGCGAGCGCTCCGACCACGAGCTCCGCGCGTTGCTGGCGGCTGCACGGGACGAGGAGCTGCGAAGGCTTTGCCGCGCCATGCAACGCCTGCGCACCTATACAGGTACTGCGGTAAAGCGTAAACACATACTTTGTGGCGTAAGATGTCACCAAGTACAGCATGTTTTATAATAATTCTTCATTTAGTAAAAACCTTTACACATGCGATACGCTTTAGGCTATATATTTTCACGCTATTAAACTTAGGGAGTAAATAATTTGGAAAAAATCGTCATGCGAGAAAGGAACACCAAGTTCAAGCTGACAACAAGTGAGCCAGGTTGCCATGGTAACTGTAATTGTTATCCAATGTCAAAGGCTTTCGTTGTCGTTTGAATTTTGGAATTTGCAATTTCACAAATGTAAACAATAAAATAAAGTTTTTATAATTGCATGGGGATAAATTCACGGGAACACCTAAAAGAAGAAGTTAGAAGTTAGTTTTAAAGAGTAACTTTGTTTGCAGAGGCGCTTGCCAGAGGAGAGGGCGCTGCAGAGCTGCCTCTGTACTGGGATTCTTGGGAGAGACACGCGCGCTCCTCGCCCAGACCAAGAAAAGGTAATCATTTGACTAGACAGAATATTTTATGAAATACCTTAGTAATATCAGCTAAGGGATCTTTGTAAATTTATATTTGAACAGATATTGTATATTAAATTCTATGCTAAGTAACTTGATTTTATAAGAAGGTTATAATTAAATACAAACTATAACAATGACAACCTTGACAACTTAATAAATTCCAAACCAGTACGACTTTGGGTCCTTCAAAAAGCGAGCATACCATTTCCTCAAAGGTCTGCAACGCATCTGTAGTTCTGATGTTGAAGATGTCTATGGGCGTCGTTGACCACCTCGGTGTTTTCTCGCTCGTTTGCCTCCTTTTATTATTAAAAAATGTACTATAGTTAAATACATGTTTCCAGGCGGCAAGTCCCCAACAACTCCGGTGAGCAAACGCAAGCAGAATTCCCACCTGCCCGCGCCCGCCGCCCTCACAAAGTCCCGCTCGCACGAGTCACAGCTCTCCGTCAGACCTGACGCCTCAGACCTCAGGTAATGTATATACGATATATGTACAAACTGTATTTCTTCTTACTAATGGTATAAATGTGAAAGTTTAGATGGTTGGATGTTTGTTAGCATTTGTAGCCTAAACTGCTGAACGGATCTTGATGAAATTATGCTTAGATGCAGGATAGTCTGGACGAATACACAGACTACTTACTTTTGTTCTTTTTAATTTCACCCGGACGAACTCTCGTGTAAAACTAGTATCTAATAACTATAATTAAAAAAACAACTAGTACTTAATTCTTCCATAGTAAGTTTTACATCTATGCCAAATTTCAGCAAGATCCGTTTAACAGTTCTGGAAATATGTTTGAACATCCATCCATCTGAACTTTTAACATTTATAATATTAGACAGTAAGATTAAGTAAATTACAAGATAATGCATAAGAATAGAACAAAAAACAATCGTGCTCGAAGGACCAACACGTTTTACTGAAGATTTAAAGTACAGACTTAACAGTTTATAGTATATTTAAACATTGTAATTGCAGTGACAACAGTCAGTCTTCAGCGAGGGACGGTACGGAGGTGTCGGAGGTGGTGGAGGTGGCGGAGGGCAGCCCTCCCGGCTCGCCGCGTGACGACGACACGCCGCAGCGCATCGCGCACGTCCTCTACCACCCTCACCACCCTCACCATCCCCCCGCGCACTGCAACACCGTCAGTATACATAGTTACCACATGTGTATTAACCCTAACGGCCAAATACTGAAACGATAGCGTCTTAGCCATTAAATTCATGATGATGCATTTATACATCAGTCTTCTCTTCCATATCCAATATACTATTTTTTTTCTTTATTTATCCCTTGATCTATGTTCAATTTACTGCCAGTTTCAATTTAGGGCATTTAAAAAGAAAAAAATATACATTTAAAATATACATTAAAATTTTGACGTTTGACAGATTGTAAGGGGCACTTACGAAACGAAATGTACGAGATTCGTTTGTGTTTGGCCGTAACTGACACACGTTGAGTCGTTTGGGAGTTATTTTCTAACAAATCTCTCCATACAATTAAACTATCACGTTTATAATAGCTTTCGCCCGCGACTCCGTCTGCGTAAAGAAAAACAAACGCAAGTAGCCTGTGTTTTACCAGTATCCTCTACATCCAAGCTAAATTTCATCGATATCCGTTCTGCATTTTTGGCTACAAAGTACAAAACATCCGTTCATCCGAACTTTTCAATTTACAATATTAGACAAAAATAACGTTTTTGCTTATTTTTATGTGTTTCAGATATCTGGTACGGGTACGACGGCGCCGCGTTCCCCGCGCACGCCGACGGTGGGCCGCTGTATGGCGCACGACATCGCGCACCGCTTCACTAAGACTTTCAATATGATCGCTACCTGCGACTACTGCGATAAGCAAATGCTATTCGGCTCCGGACTCAAGTGTAAAGAGTGCAAGTTTAAGTGTCACAGGTATGGAACACTTAGAAAAATAAAAGAAATACAGCAAAAACTAAGTTTGCAGTCTATATAACTCTGCTAGTGTTTAATTTTAGTCCCTTTCCCTTTCCACCCTTTTCTCAAGAGGAAATGATGGGAAGCAAAAGTGGATTTGACAGTGGTGGAGACGCATAGGAAGGGGAAATGTCCTCCGCAATGAAGGGTAGGCAACGCATCTGCAATTGCGGAGGTTCATGGGCAGCGGTCGCTATCCACTTCGGTGGATTCAGGTGGCCGCTTCCTCGTTTGCAATCTTATATTATAAAAAAAAAAAATTAAAGTTGGACTTTCGGTTGTTAAGCATTTAAATAAAAAAATGATACGTTTTGTCAAATTTTCATTCAGACATTTAAGAAATGTATAAAGTATACAGTGAAGAACATTTTTTTTGGGTAAATTCTTTGAAAGGTACTATATTATCTGTCAAGTTTTGTCTTTGTCATCATCCACTTGCCCTTATCCCTTATGAAGGGTCGGCACAGTATGCGCTGCTTTCCATACATCTCTATCAGCCGTCATATCTGAATCCACTCCTTTCTTAAGCATATCCTCTTTCACACAATCCATACTTTCTTCTGTCTTCCTCTACCTCATGTCCTTGTATTGGTATGAAACATTTTACAAAATTATAATAAGCTTTACCTTTTGCTATAAAATGAACTAAAAACCTATTGGCAATTTGTTTAGTATTTATATATATTATGCCAGTTGTATTCCAGTGCTGAGCGTTTCTGACTTACTTTACTGGCATTATTCTTCTAGTCCTAAAGTAACTTAATACGCAGTTATGTATTGTATTTTTTTTTGCAGAGACTGTGAGAGTAAAGTTCCTCCGTCGTGTGGCTTGCCTGCCGGCTTTGTTGTAGCGTTTAAAGAGAAATTTCATAAAGACGGTGAGTTAAAAAATACAATCATCTATATCTATCTTCTATACATATAATAATATTGGATTGTTTGTTTGTAATGTTAAAAAAAATCATGATTTCGGAATGATATTGTATTTGCGTTGCTGACGCAAACGCATTTAAATTTTTGTGTCTGTCTGTCCGCAAGCCGCATAGATATTGTGATTTTAATAAGAAACTTTAATGTTTTTACTTCGTGTTAGCTGCAGGCGGGACCTACCTGTGTCCGTCGCCGAGCGGTAAGAGCGCTGGCTTCCTGTCTTCACTCACCAGCCGTCCCCGGCGACGTCGGCAGCCGCCGCAGCCTCGGCATTACTCTGTAAGTACAAAATTAACCAGATATACAATAACTTTGTCCTTAAGAAACTTGTGGTAAACTAAGTTAAAAAGGTTGATTATGTGAAAGAAAGAGTGAAAAAATCAGTCAGTCCAATAAATCAGCCAGGGGGCTCGGTGCCTTCCCTAAATGGATGACTAGGCCATAGTCAACCATCTCAAGCTTAATTGCTTCAACGGTCTTCTTTAAAATAATGCTTATTTTTAGAACATTTTAAATCTTTTTACTAATATTATAAATGTGAATGTTTAAATGGCTTGTAGCCTAAACTGAACCGATCTCTGTGATTTGGAATAACCATAGAGGATAGTCTAAAAAAACCCATAGACATCCTTTTGGTTTTTTTTTAAATTCCACGCGAATGAAGTCGCGGGCAAGATAGTAGCATATTTTTATAACCTGCTAAATTCAATTTAAATATGTTTGGTACGGATAAAATAACTTTTTAATGAAGTTTTGTGTGTACCAGGGCGGGCCGGACTCGTCTTCGAACACGTCATCGTGTAACAGCTCCACGCCGTCGTCGCCTGCGCTCGCCGCGCCCGCCACGCCGCAGCACGCGCACGCGCACGCGCACGCACACACGCAGCCGCACGCGCACGCGCACGCGCATACCAACAACAAGCAACAGTTCCACTTCCCAGGTATATACGTCATATACCACCACTATATGAGGCTCGGGCATTTTTTTATATTATACTAACTTTCACCTAAAGGGGTGACTTCAACCACTTTTTTATGTTTTTAAATTAGTTATTTAGAACATTACTGCAGCTTTATTTCTCAGATGAAGCCGCACGCGAACAGCTAGTTTCTTAGATAATAGTAATGAATGTTTTTTCTTTTTATGAATTTCGTATTTGATTATATGATGAAATTGTCAGGTGTAGAAAATTTATATCGATTTCTATATGAAGTATTTTAGTCGATTTTTTTTTCATTTTACCGTTTTTATTTTTGCAGAAGTGAAGCCGCCGGTTTCGAGTCCGAACCATAATTCAGTTGTGCAGTCGCCAGTGAGACCCGCGCCTGATAACAAAGATGATCTCACCTCTAGTATTAAAAGTGGTATGTTTTATAATGCATTTTAAATAATCGATTAATTAATTCGATTAAAATTGATCAATAAATGTCTTATGTTCTTATAAGTAGATCAGTTGAAATTAGATTTTATGTATGTTATATCGATTACGAAAAATTCCAGATTTCGCGTTTGTCTGTTTATTTGCAAGCCGCGTTTGTACCGGGTAACATCCGAAATAGTTCAGCCGGTTTTGACGGTACTTTCACTAGGGGGTAGTTGTCACGGACGGGCATATATTTTATGTATTTTGCGGGTACAAAACGATTTGAGACTAGCGAAATCTGGAACAGACAGAAATAGAAATTTGAATAAGAGACCTGTGTCCGGGGAAAAGCCGTAGATAGAGGATTAAACGATAGTAAGTCATCAAGACAATAGTGAAAAATAACTATGTTCCTAATAAATATGGTTTTAAAGTACTTTAGGCAACATATTGTATACAATTTATAGCAATAAAGGCTTTATTATTACTGACTTTCGCCCGCGACTCCGTCCGCGTGGTATTAAAAAAAACGAAACCAAGTAGCCTATGTGTCCTTCCAGACTATCCTCTACGTTTATGCCCAATTTCATTGAGACGTTCAGCAGTTTAGGATACAAACTCTAACAAACATCCATCCATCCAAACTTTCACATTTATAATATTAGTATAATAAATTAATGTTACAGAGCGGTCGCGTCACGTGTCACTGAGTGGGTCGGGGTCCACGGACAGCGGCGGCGCGCGCGCTGACTCGCTGGACCTTAACTCGCATGACTCGCGCTGGCCTCGACAGAATTCAGTTAGTACTCTACATTAATATTGGACAGTGTATATATACAGTGTATATATATAGTGTATAGCCTGTTACTCTACAACATAGGTTTCTAACGGTGAAAAAATTTCTGAAATTGGCTCTAGTTTTTGAGTTATTCCAATATATAGAAAATAAAAATCTTTTCTCTTAACAATATTAGTATAGGCTAGCTAGCTTGCGACTTCGTCCAGACTGAAATAAAAGGTTAAATAGCCTATGTTCTTCAAGACTTCTAAATCTGTGTGGGCGTTACAACCATTTTATGCTTTAATAAAATATAGTCTTCCATACCTCTTAAGTTTTCCTCCAATTTGCACAGAATAACCTTACCAATATGGTCGTAGTGTCGTTGTGCTAATGCAACACCCTTATTTTTGACATCCGACTACTCTCCGATTATTAACATAACAAGCAGAATTAAGTTATTTTAAAACCATGGCATAAATATTTAAATAATGTTTTGGATCACAGTTGCAAAGCTTATATCGTTATTTCAAATTATGACAAATGGTATTGATTTATAGCACAGACTAAATAATCTTTAAGAATACAGAGTACATCAAAATAATTAAAAAGCTAACATACGTCAAATTTCATCTACATCCGTTGAGCCAAAGATACTAACATCCTAAATTTCGTATTAACGTGTGTGTGCAGTTGTCAATGAAGGAATGGGACATCCCGTACGACGAGCTGAAGCTGTTCGAGGTGATAGGCGCGGGGAGGTTCGGCACCGTGTACCGCGGCAGCTGGCACGGCGCCGTCGCCGTCAAGCTGCTGCATGTGCACTCGCTCAGCGACCACTGCGTGCAGCTGGACACCTTCAAACACGAGGTCGGTCGGACACTGATCTGTATAAATGGATAGGCTAACTGCGGTTATATGGTTGCAGTAGGATTCGGTGATGTTTTCAAATAATAATAGTGGTATACTTAAATGACATTAATTGGAAAAAGCGCAATTATGTTGAAATGTCTAAACAATCGCCTATCCATTTATACAGATCAGTGGATTTACACAAGTATATAATGAAATGGTGTCCATTATGACAGTAGGCTAGTAGCGCTCGAAAACAACAAACAAGCGACTGGAATTATGCTTTACAATGGTAAAAAAATATTAATTCCAGTAGATTTTCAGTTAATTCGTTCAAAGGAAATGAAAATTATTTACATATGTCAGTGACGACACTGATGACAATGCCGTTTATTGTCTGAGTTTTTTAAACATTTTAATACGTGATAACAGCCATGTAAATATAAAATTGTTTAGATACATTTGATATAATTTCTTGTTCCTATTGAGTTTAACCAAAGTCGTTCTTACGATGTAGAAAATATCGTGATGCCTGCAAATATCTGTGAAGATATAAAGTCAACCAACAGTTGACTAAAACATAGTCTACTAATTTAGGCTCCTCTCAATGGGAATCTAAAGCTATTGAATTTGAGTATAACTTTAAATTTTCCACAGGTGGCGACGTTCCGCAAGACCCGTCACGAGAACCTGGTGCTGTTCATGGGCGCGTGCATGAAGCCTCCCCGGCTGGCCATCGTGACGTCACTGTGCAAGGGGATGACACTCTACACACACATCCATCTGCGTAAAGACAAGTTCACAGCCAACAAGAGCGTTATCGTCGCACAGCAGATATCACAGGTCACCCCCCACCCCCCACCCCACTGACATTAAACCTTCACAGAACGATATCTCGAGCTGTACCGCAAAATTGAGCTTTATGTTATTGAAATAAGGTTTATTTTGGCTTTGCATGGGTTTTTGTAAGCGTAAAAAACATGAAAAGTGAAATTAAACCTTGTGTTAAGAACTTAAAGCTCAGTTTCATTTACAATAAACAATCTGCTCTCTGTGCCTTTGTTAATGCAGTCTTATTCTGATATTGATAGCCACAGACCATAAGTAACATGGAATAGTGTGTTTTTATTTTTGGTTATTTCACTATTTGTTTGATTTAAAAAGTTTATTGGGCAATGATTTTTACAATAATATAAAGACTTCGCGATTTGTTTCTTGTTCTGATAAATAATTCTAATAAATTCTTGTAATCTCACTAGTATTGTAAATGCAATAGATTAGATGGATGGATGTTTGTTAGAGTTTGTAGCCTATAAATTTAGTATAGATCTACATCTACACTAGGATAGTTAGGAAATGTACATAGGCTACATACTTTTTTTTTGATTCCACGCGGAGGAAGTCGCGAGCGACGAAACATCGAAACGTTTTTAACTTTTTTTTACAGTAATTAATGAAATACATTATATTCCAGGGTATGGGATACCTCCACGCGCGAGGCATCCTCCACAAGGATCTCAAGACAAAGAACATATTCCTAGAGAACGGGAAAGTGGTCATCACAGATTTTGGTCTGTTCAGTGTCACCAAGCTGTGTTTCAGCAACAAGTATGTTATATTTCTGTAGTTTAAAATTAATATATTAATCAGGTCACCTGAAAATCATGAGTAACAAACTTCCATCAAAATTAATGCATTTTTGCTAATATGATGTCAGAATTAAGAGCATATATTTAAATAATTCCTTCTTTAATAAAAATACCCCACACTTATTTGACACGCTTTAGCTATTTTTAAGCTATTAAACTTAGGGGGTAAATAAATAAATTTAAAAAACAACTTTCATGTGTGAAAGGGACTATAAACTAGAAGCTGCCAACATTAAGGAAGCAAGGTATTGTAACGGTAGTTAGGACATTTGTAATTGAGAATTCGAAAAAGGTAAACAATAAAATCAAGTTTTTAAAATTTTATGCAGATGACGCCGGTAACACGGTACCGGTCTGTCCTCGACTGTATTTCGAAACCAATAAAATTTAAGGTCCTTCAAGAAGCGAACCTATCATTTCCTTAAAGGTCGACAACACATCTGTAGTTCCTCTGGTGTTGTGGATGTCCATGGGTGTTCACGCCGCTCCCCTCTTTCTATACTTTTATAATAAAGCGTAAACACACACTTCTTTGTTGCCTAAGATGTCAACAATTACCGCATATTTTTGAATAATTCTTTTTTTTTTTTAAAAGCCCTACACTTACGTCACAATTCGCATGCGATCAGCTAGTTATTATATAAAAAAGTTAGTAATTAAATATATTTAAGTATGTTTCTGATGTGTGTGTGTGTGTGTGCAGCGCGCGCGGCGACAGCCTGGGCATCCCGCCGGGCTGGCTGTGCTACCTGGCGCCGGAGCTGGTGCGCGCGCTGCGCCCGCACGCCTCGCTGCATCTGCCCTTCTCCAAGTGCACCGACGTGTACGCGTTCGGGTGAGAATACTATATTATTTGGGCTAAATTACCATTAGCTGATCGATCAGGGAAAGGTCGGTCCAACGGGAAACTTTAATTAAATAAAATTACAAAAATAATGCAATATCTGACAATATACTGTTTTTGGAAAATAAGGTCCGTTTTTGTTCCTTTTTTATTTTTTTTCTAGTAATTTAATTTAATATTTTTCAGTACTGTATGGTACGAGCTGCTGTGTGGAGAGTACCCCTTCAAGGGTCAGCCACCCGAAGCCATCATCTGGCAAGTGGGCAAAGGCGTCAAGCCCTCGCTCGCCAACATGCAGGCCTCCAGAGATATTAAAGTAAGCAATCGACTTTTTAAATCACACTAGTTGTTTTCTAATTAAAAAAAACTTTATTTTATTGTTTTTTGATTTTTTTTATTGCGATTGTTAAAATTCAAATTCACAAATGACAACGAAAGCCTTTGTCATTGGATAATTATTACTGTTACTTTTGCAATCTTGCTTCTTTAATGTTGTTAGCCTGTAGTTTTTGTCCCTTTCTCTCAAGAAGGTTTTTTTTTTTTTCAAATTATTTACGCCCTAACTAATAGCTTTGAAATGTGTATCCTAAAGCGTGAAGTCAGTGTGGGTTTTTTTTTATTAAAGATAGAATTATTCAAAAATATGCTGTGATTGCTGACATCCTACGCCACGCAGTAGTGTTTTCCGCTTTATCATTTTAGTATTGATATCGATTGTACCAGCGTTGTCTAACCAACTTATTCCAGGATATCCTGATGCTGTGCTGGTCGTACCGGTCAGCGGAGCGGCCTGACTTCCCTCACCTGCTGTCCACGCTGGAGAAGCTGCCCCGCAAGCGCCTCGCGCGCTCCCCCTCGCACCCCGTGCATCTCTCACGGTCCGCGGACTCCGTCTTCTGAGGGCGAGCCTGCCGCGCTCAGGCACACTCACAGTCCACACCTATACCTAGCGTTAATTGACAATTAATAGCTTAAGTCACCTCACTATACGTCCTCACTGAGGAACGGAGACTACTAAGTTAGAGGAAATGTAACATAAAAAACGTTCAAAGTAAATGTCATGTTTGAAATGCTCAAATGAAAGAATGCCCTTGCTTTTGGCTAAATTAAGTAATCATGGCAACTGCTTCTTTACTACTACTGATTTAATTTTTGTCCTGTTTTCAACCGCAAAGTTTAACATGAAAATAAGCAAATTATCAATTGCATGACAATCACAAAGCATGGCAACCTTGCTTCCTTAATGTTGGAAGCAACTTATGGTCTCTTTCCCACATTATGGTTGTATCCCACATTGTGTTGGTCACAGATGGAAAACCACTTATGGCTTTTATTCAAAATGTTTACCCCCTAAGTTGTGTGAAAATATATAGCCTAAAGCGTGACGTAAGTGTAGGGCTTTTATTAAAAAAAAATAGTTATTCAAAAATATGCTATAATTGCTGACATCTTAGGCAACAAAGAAGTGTGTGTTTACGCTTTATTATAATTACCCGACATTCTTATGGTGAAGGAAAACATCGTGATGCCTGCACATATCGGCGAAGAAATTCAAAGATATGTGTGAAGTCTCGCAGTGTGGTTGACTATGGCCTAGACACCCTAACTTAGGGTAGGCTCCAAGCCCCTCAGTGGGGACATATAGTGAGCTGGTGATGATGGGGTGTAGAGGGTTGTGGAGGAAGGGGTAATGCAGACCTTGAGCAAGATATTTGAAAAGAACTATTCAAAATTCTAAGTTTTATTGCGGTAGGTGTCAGGAAATAACGAACAGTTTGGTTTTAAAGATGTGACCATGAACAACAAAGTGTATTTCAACCTCTAAAATATTTTTCCATAGCTACACATTTTACTTGTTTGTATTCCTGTTTTTGAACAAATTCAGTTGATCGATAACTTCGTTCAATTACTTTAAAAACATCGATAATTCGTAAACTCGACATACATTTATTTGAATTTGTTACTATATCTTGATATAGTTTCGATAATGTCAAAAAAAAAAATCGGGCGGACAATAGGATTGAAATGACTTTGTAAATATTAATAATTCGCTATAAAATTTTTGCTCTTTGGATTTTAATAGTTACTTCAATTGTCAGCCCGATTTTAAACGATTTAAGAAATACTGTTATATTTAACGGGTCGTTGCTACTTATCGAGTTAGGTAGCGAAATTTATTTAAAAAATTACGAAAAAAAAAACCATCGTAACATGTACAGTCAGCAGCATAAATAGGGTAACATTTACAAAACTATACAAGCCTTATTTAAAAAATATTTGCACATTTTTGTTAATAGCGAGAATTTGTAATCGGAAGCATATAGACGGATTCGAGATTTTTTTTTCCAAGGCAATATATAAGTTTCAAAAGCTGTAAACATAATATTTATGAGGCTGACTGTACTACATTTGTATAGATAGTAATAAGTTTTGATCTCTAATTAATTGATAAATTAAATTATATTTTCGTATTTAAAAAAAACATGCACTGTGTGTAAATGCGTTGTTATTGTATATATTTGTATAGTGTTATAATACGTCAGGTGCATCGGGTTACGCGAATATCGACCTTAAGTGAACGTAATAAAGCTGTACTTTGAAAATGCTTGCCTGAAAAGGAGCTTACGGATTTCCTTACAATCATTAATAGTCGAATTCAATAGGAATGAAAAGTATTATTTGTTGATTGACAACTGTTGTCTATGAAATTGAGAAGCAAAAGGTTAGCGTGGTATGGACATGTTATGCGACGAGACGATGGGGCCATAAACCTGAAAGTGTTAAGAATTAATGTGGATGGCTACAAAGGAAGAGGAAGACCGAAGAAAGTATGGATGGATTGTGTGAAAGAGGATCTGCTTAAGAAGGGAGTGGATTAAGATATGACGGCTGATAGAGATGTATGGAAGAGCAGCACCTACTGTGCCGACCCTCCGTAAGGTATAAGGGCAAGTTAATGATCTTATGTCTATGGATTTTTCAAGTTTCAGTATTTAATTGATATAAACATGTCTGTGTTATAATAATTTCTCATGTCTACTGAATTCGTCAGTTATGTTACAAAACTAGTTGATTACTGTGCCAAAAAGTGGCTACTATCTGTGTGCCGATAATGTAAAAAATCGATTAAATAACGCAATGTTAATCCAAACTATTTCGCCTTATTCAATGAATATAGATAGCGTAGAAGACTTAGGGCCTGTCCCACCACTGGCTGATAGAAGCTCGGATAGCTTAAAAATGACGTCACTGACATAAGGGAACAAAATCCGATATTTCCATCACATATTTCACATGTTAGATTGTTATCAGACAATATACGATACGATAGTGGGACAGGACCTTGTAATGTTTACAAAATCATTATCAATGGATTTTTTTTAATTAGACATAAATCAGGCCTTCAATAAATACCTCATATTTAACTTACACCAATTATAGCAATATACACGCTTAGATACAATGATCTAAAATATTTTTCGAAGTTTATTTTGTAAAAATTTTCTAACTCTAACAGCATTGTCATATAGAAGTAACCGTGAGTTTACACTGTCGGTATTCTCGTATAAAAAGCGTGTAACAGTGTTAACCCACGTTTCTAAATATTCACGGCCATTGTAAATACAAATAAACCAACAATAAAAATATGCAAATACAATAGTATATGTGCCTTTGAACACATGTAATTTAAAGATATAAAATCGAAATCATTTTTCTCTGATTTGGTAAGGCTAGGATGTTTGTAACATCTGCTATAGTATTAAGAATACATTTTTGCAATTTAAAATTCTATTTTGCTATAGTTGTCATCATAGATTAACTTAGTCCGAGCTGCTTAGATAATTATATGCATATAGTAAAGTCCTTTTCGAATATCTCATCCCACCAATATTGAAAAAGGAAATTTACTATGCTGAGATGTTAATAATAAATTATTAAGACTTGATAAAGAACGCTTTGGTTATAGGAATTTCAAATTAAATTTTAAAAAGTTTTCATTCACATTATCGTTATATATGAACCCGATGCATCCGACGAACAAGAGTTGATATTTATAAACGATTTATCTTAAAATGACTTGAACAGTTGGAATGGATTTAAATTCCTTACAGGGGTTTGACAGATCTTTTGACTCGACGTGCGTTGGGGCATAGACAATGATGTTGTTGTCATAGTTATTTAGTAAAATATTTATTAGTTATTCAATTTTTTAATTGTCAATTGAAATTTTACTGTAGGTAGTCTTAGATAACATTCTCTTTGCTGGGCACAACCTAGTCAAGTCAATGTTATCTTGACATGTGGGCCAGGCTGTTAATGAGATTTTTCCCATTGGCCCGAACATTCGAAGGGCAATCAGTCCAACGGGAAACACAATGACGAAAACCTCCACTGTCTATGTCCCATCGCACTACCGGAAGGTTCTGAGAACTTTGTATATAAAAGTAAGAACATTCCTTTTGGGTATATCGCGAGGAAGTTTTTTCAATTTTTATATAGTTCTATCAAATGCAAATTCAGTCATTTTGGTCCTGAACTTTCAAATGTTAAATGATATTCACACACATTTTCTGACATGAAAGAAATATATCGTCAAGGAATTAAATTTACTAACCAATTGGATTATGGGCAAACCATCACTTAAATGGATAGGAAATAAATGTCCTTGACTGTATGTGTTAACATTTTATCTATTGAATGTTGGCTTTTGAAATATCAGGATTAAATTGTATATTTTGAAAGTTACCACTTTCTATAATATTTATAAAGAGGCTTTTAATTAGCTCGATAAGATGACAGTTGAAGGCAGTATTGTTTAAAACGAAGATACAAACATACTCAAATTCTATGTGAATGGACATGTTCCCATTCAGTTCAGGACCCTATGTGACATAAAAAATAATCTCTTTTATATAATACATGTTCTAGGCAATTTATAAACCAGCATACCACAAAACATACTGCTTTCATTTGATAAATCAACAGAAAATCAAAATTGTAAAAAAATAAAACTCATTTGCAATTAGGATATAGATAAAAAACAGCTCATTTTTTCTTAAATTATTATTAAAATAATAGACATGTATTCTGGTCAGTCAACACTTATTGATAATTTGTAAATTTGTGAAGGAGTGTTGTGAAGTGGCCACAATGTGTATATAGTGTGAAAGTGACTTGGCTTTTTCAATTGTATTATATTAATAATTTATTCTGAGGTTCCATGTGGGTGTCATATTGCCTTTACGCTGCGGTTGTCGCAATGTGGACCTGTGTATTGGATTGCTCGGTCGATCCTAGTTTTACATTGAGATTTCGAGGTAAATAGGATAATTGCATTTGCCAAAATAAATCTCCGATCACTGTTTATGTTGTTTTATTTCAATTTTAACCAAACTAGTGATTGTATTTTTATGCATTAATTTTAAAATAAGGTCATACTTTGAAGTAGAAAGGTTCATTAAAACAAACCCAAATAAAGTTATATAAAAGATTTTTAATCACTAAATTATGCTACATGTCCTGCTAATATTGCAGCTATATTTGCACACATTGCTTTAATTTCTTCAGCACTTAAATATTCTGCTCCCAGTATAGCATTTCCTAAGGCAATAGTCTCTCTCATTGACTTTGCTTTTATCCAAATCCTCCCATTCATACCTGCCGCAAGCTCAAATGGCCATTCATTCTTCAATGAATCTAATAATGGACATTGAGGGTTCAGAATCTTTCTAATCAAGTTTATTGAACATTTAAACAAGAAACCGTCAGTTAAAACTCCCAGCCGACCTTTCTTTCCATAGGAATCGACGCAAACTAATTCTGGCTCCATATCTTTGCTACCAACAAGAGTTTTTGCGTAAACAACATCACCTATCTGAACATTTGGTCTGTTTTTCTTTGTCGCTCCTTCGAAGGAAAGGTACGATAAGGCTGCGGACATGCTACTACCTAAATCCACTCTGTATATATCACCAGCTTTCTGAATAACGATTCCTATAACATTTTCTCCTCTTGCTGGTATATACCTCTTTTGATAGTAATCTACCCAGTATGTGTTTGGATTCTTTTTCTTCAATACTCCTGCTTTTGTCACATAAATTTGGTTGCTTTCTTTGTGTAATCCCGGGCCGACTATAACTTTTGATTTTTCTCCTGCTTTTGCAATTTCTTCGCAGTAATCGCCTGGCATAACCACATCTCCAACAGAAACTTTCATTGTAATTTTATCTTAAAACATTAATTCAGCAATTGATTTTCAATATTAACGAAAATATAAATATTTTGCATTTCAAAGAGGTTATAATTGCTAATTTTTTGACAATGATCAATGACATTGACATGCGTCTGCTGTTTGAACTGACATCACAATTCCAATGTACTAAAAACTACCGTTTCAAAAATGTCGCATTTACTGCTTTACTGCTATTTAAAATCTTTTCGTAATTTTATAAAAGCGCTTTAGATGAAGATTTCAATGTTTCATTCATTATGATTTCTTTTAAGAGCAACTATTCCCCATTGCGTGTTTTACAAGTGCTTTTGTATCGTATTTGCACTTTGAAAATCGGACCTACAGAAATATGTCATTTTGACATTGACAAGTTCACCACGTGCGTTTGCTTTGTACACAACATATTTATTCGCAATTTCTTAATTATATTAATTTAATCAAAGTGTACTAAGAAAGTGTAATGCCGGCAGTAATAAAAGACAATGTACTCGTATACAAAGGTTGTAACTTGTTCCGCCAGAGGTTGCTTCTATCGGTTTTAAGCGGGCGAGCTATCAAAATAGAGGACATTCGGAGTAACCACGATGATCCAGGACTGAGAGAATACGAAGTGAATTTGATCCGTCTTATAGACAAAATAACAAATGGTACGAGGGTGGAGCTGGGCGAGACAGGGACATCTATGTACTTTCAGCCTGGTATACTTGTTGGTGGCCAAGTTACACACAGCTGTTGCACTCAACGAGGAATAGGTTAGTAAAATTGGTTCTCATTCTTTCCCACATCACCTCTTGTTTTTCATATTTCTTTTGTTTATTTACAACAAAAAGAATATTGTGCCTGTCAATCTTTAGATTGTATTGTGGACTGGTCCTTCACTATTTGTTGCCAAGAGTTCTAAGAAAAGGCCTTCAGACAGTTAAAAATATTTATCAAGTGTCCAATATATAGCAATTAGTTGTCAAAGTATTTTGATGCATTGTTTGTCTATTTCAGGGTATTATTTGGAGGTTCTGTTAGCTGTTGGTCCGTTCTGCAAGGAGCCACTGAATGCAGTACTGCAAGGTGTAACACATCATGATCTGGATGTATCTGTGGACAAAGTCAAGTTGGCAGCATTACCTGTGCTCCTTAAGTTCATACTGGTTGATGATGGATTAGAACTCAAGGTTGTTAGAAGAGGTAGGTTCTTTAATAATGTAACTGAGATCACAATAACACCAGGTTGGGCTAACAATCCCATATGCATCAGCTATCTTCCTGTTAAAAGCGACCCATCTGCCTCAGAGATTTAATTCAGATAGAAAATATGGAAGATGGAAATTTAAGAGTAATAAAATAAATAAACCAAAGTGAAATATGTTTAAACTTAACTCTTTTTAGTTTTATCTAAATGAAAAAAAAATTAAAAACCACTACTCTAATTTAGGCAATCTATTCCTCAAATAATAATTTTGAATAGTGACATTAGAACAATGTAGTCACAAATAATAACAATTTATTTCAGGTGCTCCACCCTTAGGAGGTGGTGAAATAGTGTTCCGTTGTCCAGTGCGTCGTCATCTACGACCATTACAGTGGACTAAGTGGGGGCTGGTGAAGAGAATTCGAGGTGTTGTGTACGCACTACGTGTATCACCCACATTCGCTAATAGAGTTGTAGAATCCGCAAAAGGGGTAAATGAATATTTGAATATTAATTTTCAAAGAATACTTCGGCTGTTGCAGTTTTGTAAATCTCAGTATCTTTCCAGGTTATGCTAAATTTCCTCCCAGATGTATATATAAACACAGACCAGTGTAGAGGACCAAACGCTGGCAAGAGTCCAGGTTTTGGTGTCAGTTTGGTTGCGGAGACCAATGAAAAGACCTTTTATTGTGCGGAAGCTGTAAGTATTAATGATAGTAAAGAAGCAGTCACTTGAATTCAAAAAATAGTGAAGACCGTTTCTCACAGACATCTGTTACACATGCATTGTCTACCTTTATACACAGAAGATATTTCATTATCAGCTTCATAACATTACTTAACATTTTACATCTTACTAACTTCAAATTCATACAAACTTTAGAATGGAGCTATGTTTAACTTGTAGAAATCAGAAGAGGTAGGCAGTGGGGAGATATCATTACCAGAGGAGATAGGAAAGCAGTGTGCAATGAAGCTGGCAGATGAGATATATCGCGGCGGAGCGGTGGACTCCTCCTTCCAATGGCTGGTAGCACTCTGGATGGCATTAGGACAGAAGGATGTCAGTGAATGTGTGGTAAGTTTTACACTATACTATGGTTTGACAACCATATGAGTTCCTATGGGCATTAAACAGAATTACAACACCTCACTACCACTTTCCAATGTCAAAAAAGTGTCATAAGACCATAATTGACACTTCACTTGAAACATTTTTTACGTCTCCTACCGCTATGTAGTGTCCAATAGTCAAAATCACAAACAAACAATTTAAACACTAGGAAGTGTCTCAGCTTGTTAAAGATACTGAAATTTGAGATATTACCGTATAGAGGTTACTGGTGAAAAAATGTTTATCCCTGTGTCTCGTCTATATATTTCTTAATGTCTTTGGTTTTAAGTAAGGAGAATTTATCATATTTAAAAATTTTCCAGGTGGGACCGTTGTCTGATTACACAATAAGTTTTCTGCAGCATCTCAAAGAGTTCTTTGGAGTGATGTTTAAGTTGGAAGTCCTACGCTCTGAGTTGGAAGAGTCTGACGAGGAAGAGGAAAATACGATTGAAGCTAACAAGGTCAAAATGACATGTGTCGGTATAGGTTATGTTAATATTAGTAAAAGAACATTGTAATAAATATTTATCAAACACTACTCTGTTTTCTTTTCTAGTCTATCTTGAATAGTTTCATTCTTGTAAATGTACATAGTTATGTATTTATTGTCATACACAGAATCATTTAGCGGTCTTTAGGAATATTGCAGTTTCAGTTTAACGACACAAACATGATTGTCTGCAACTTTAAATCAAGATTTGAGGTCACAACATTGTTTTGATTTAAATGAATGCTTATTTATATTTTTTATTCAGGATTATTTTAGTGAAGTCAACCAACCCGCAGTTGGCCAGCGTGGTTGACTATGCCTTACCCCCTTATTAGGGTAGTCTTCGAGCCCCTCGGTGGGGACGTATAGAGAGCTGGTGATGATATGGGATTATTGAAACACAATATTGAGTATTGTTTGTTTTATTTCTAATCATATAAAATAAATCTTAAAATCTAATTATTTTATAATATTTAAGGCACATTGCGAAATAGGTTGTTTCTACATTTTTACTTGCCTATTCAGTACGCGTGTAACTAGTGTGATAAAACTAAGTGGAATGTACATTACAAAGTTTTCATGTTTCTTATGAATATGATTTTTGCTAGATATAAAAATACAAAAGTGTGACAGACACAAGTTCTTGGGTACTTAATTATAGAATATTTACATAAGTTGGCAGTGTTTTTTTTAGGTTAAGAAATTGAGAATGCCTTAAGAATTGCTGAGTAAGCATATAATAAACTTAAAAGTTTATGTTTTAACAACCTTTTAAGGTAAATTTTTCTTTTCAAGACTATGTTGGTAAATCATTGACAATAAATTTAATTATTTACCTATTATAGTTTTGATACATAAATCAACAAAATATTTTGTATCACATTTACCGAAAACTTTAATTTGCCATTTAAATTGTAAAAGTATTTAAAAAAGGAACATATCTTTCATTTTTAAATATAAATAACAGGTCAAGTTTTAATTTTTTCCAATTTAAACATCAGAAATAATCAAATAATTTAGTTTGGGGCATTTTTGACACAAATTTTGTAAGTTGGCAACCCCATGGAAGGTTTTTTTAATCTATGAGTCTTGCTCGTGACAGCCGAGTCCTGCCGACCAGTTGCAAATACCGCCAACAGGGTCGAAGGACAGGCCTTTAGGACAGACGTACTCCCAGCCCAGTAATGCTCCGCTTTCCATACGCGCACACGATATGAACTTCTTACAGGACGATGGGTGCGGGAAGTTGCCTATGTCTAAACACTCGATTGTTCCTGGAAAATTAATATTTTTGGTTAAATTTAATAGCTTATACTACTGGCTGTTAGTAGGAGGTTGATAGATTGGATCATTATGGGTGCATTAAAATGGGGCGCTTACCTTTACTATGAAGTATAACTTTAGTACCCTCTTCATATTTCTGTGCTACTTTCTCTTCACTGTCATCATAATAATCGTAAGTTATTGGTTTTCTTACTCTGTTTGGTTTTGGTAATTCAATATTTTTCACTGGTACTCTCTGTATTTGCTGCCTCTGTGTAGGCTGTACTTCCTTAACTGGCTTCTCTTCAATTAATTGTATCTCTTGTTCTTTCTTTGGCACCTTTAGGACTTTCACCTTCTGTACTTTGCGTATTTTCTCAAATGGTTTTCTTGATACGACTCTTCGGGGTTTTTCTGTTGTTGTTGTGGTGGAACTCGGTCTAGTTGTTGATGAAATTCTTCGGAATATAGTCTTCTTTCTGCCTAATTTTCTAGTTGTGGTTGTCGGCTGTGTTGTTGTTACTGGTGATAAGTATTGATATTCATCTAAAAACATAAATTTGAAAATAGAAATTTTACTTCTTACTAATATTATAAATGCGAAAGTTTAGAAAAAAGAACTGCTGAACGGATCTCGATGAAATTTGGCGTTAATATAGAGGATAGTCCGGAAGAACACATACGCTACTTATTTTTGTTTTTTGAATTCCACGCGGACGGAGCCGCGGGCGAAAGCTAGTATATATAAGATACACCAAAATTATCACAAATAATACTTGTTTGTGATTTACGTACCGTCATATGTTTTAGTAACTGGAGACGCCAGGAGGTATTCTCTAGTGAAATACGAAGGGTCTTGACTTTGGCTATATCCAGCAGTAGAGAATGCGAAATCATCTACAGGTCCCGATACGTATTTACCAGTCGTACTTGGATATTGGACGGAAGATGGACTTGTGTCCTGTGATTTCTCTTCTGTGCTTACGTATTTCACGGTAGAAGGATTTACATCTTGAATGAAACCTGTATATTGACCGTTGGGGTTCAAATAACGATTAGTTGAGACCTCTTCTGGTAATGTGCTACTTGTTGGATTTTTTTCTGTGGATTCGTAGTAAGAGCTAGTAGATGGACTTCTGTTGCGTGTGATATCGGAGTATTTCTTATTTACAGTATATGTTTCAATCTGAGGCGTGTCTGTAGATTTATCAGCTGCTTCTGCATAGCTATCTGTAGATGGTCTTAATCTAGGTAATGTTTCGGTTATTCTTTCATTAATTCCTGTAAATCCGGTAGTCGGTCCTGCGGTTGAGAATTCTGATGAAGTTTCTTCTGTGACTTCGTATCTGGAAGTCGAGGGTCTGGTTCTGCGAGGTACACTGGTGTATCTTTCACTGGTGCCTGTAAATCCAAACGTAGGAGTTGTTTCTGTTGTGTACTGTTCACTGTTTGTGTAGCTGTTAGTGCTAGGTCTTCTCCTACGAGACTGTACTGGTTTTTCAGTTGTACTTATTACCACTTCGGTTGGATTAACGTTTTGTACAGTACCAGTTGTATATTTGTCTGTTTCAGTGTAAGCGGTGGTAGAAGGCCGTCTCCTTCTCGAAGGTTCTGTATATCTTTCATTCGATGTTGTAGGATTAACAGTTTGTAATGTGACAGTTGTATACTTCTCACTATCACTTACAGTCGTGGTCGATGGTTTTCTTCTTCGTGAGATCGACGAATATCTGTCAGTTGTGTCTGGATCAGTGGTGGTGGGATTCTGATTTTGTAATGTCGTGTAACTTGCGCCTCTGTTCGTAAATCTGCTTGGTACTCTTGTATTAATTGGTGTTTCTGAGTAGTCGGTTGTTCCTCTATAACCATTTGTAGGTGTCGCTTCTTGAGATACTGTCGTATATTTGTCTTCCGTTACGTAAGTGGGGGTTGAAGGATTTGTGGCAACATTTGTATATTTTTCTCCAGTTACTGTAAACCTAGGGTTCAAGTTTTGGGATGTTCCTGTATATCTGTTTAAATCTAAATAATCGATAGTTGATGGTCCTGGTGTTTGATAGGTATCAGTGTACTTGTCGCTCGTGTCTAAGTATTTACTTGTTTCAAACGGATCTTCTGATATACCAGTAAATCTGTCATCCAAGTATTTATTGACTGTAGTGGTAGGTCTGGAAATTTCAGAGTATTTCTTGCTTATGCCGAAATCGTTCGTGGGTGGAAGAGTTTGCGAGGTACCGGTATATTGTTCTAATCCACTAATTGTAGTAGATGGTCTTCGACCTCTAGATCTCCCAGTTGGTGTCACTGTTTGTGAAGACTCTCCTGTATTAATATATTTGTCGCCTGGAGTTATATCGTATGAAATAGAACTATAATTGTACACTGTTGTCAAGTCTTGTAATCTTGATGGAGACTTTGAGTACTTTTCACTGGTATCCGTAAATCTACCTGATGTTGGATTGATTTCTTGTGTTGGTATATTTTGTTCAGTTGTACTCAAGTACCTGACGGTCGATGGACCCAAGTTGCGGGAAACCCCCGAGAGACCAGGGTTAATTATAGTGGGAGCTGTAAATCCAGTTGGCTTAGATCCTCTATATCCACCTGTTGATGGTAGAACAGTATTCACAAGATCACCGGAGTATAAACCTGTGGAAGTTTGGAAGTAGTCTTGAGTTTCTGTACTGTAACTAGGGGTGGTAGAGTACGATAAGGGGTAGGATGGCGTCTTAGTAATATCAGGGGTGTATTCAGTTGTGGTGTATTTGAACTTCTGAGTATTCTTTGGCGCACTTCTAGTAGGAGTCACATCATATTCATAGTCTGGTATGATTGGTACAGGAGCTTCTAAGAGTTTGTGGGCAGCAAGAGCTACGGCAGTTTCAGCACTAAAGCCTGTAAAGGAAAGAAAACTTTAGAACGATGTCACGCTTAAAACCCGAGTTGGATTGAGCAAGCGCAGTAAATTGAGCTTTATAATGTTGATGTTAAGATACAAGTCCAAGCGTAAACTTACTTTCAGTAAATTTCCCTTCAGTAGTTACATCAATATCCTCGTCAAAGGAATCCTGATTTTTAAGCTTAAGAACTTCATCTAATTGGTTTTGTTTGAAAGTGGAGCTGTATTTCTTGCTCTGTCTCTTCTTTTCTTCTTCATTTGTAGCAGACGGATTCTGATCGCTTTCTTCTTTCAAATTAACCAGGGGTCGTCTTTGGATTTTTGGATTCTTTTTCGGTCCAGAGCGAGTAGTTATGGTTGGATCTTCAATAGAGTCTGTTAAAGGAGAAATTTTAAGTTAGTAAGAGCATGGAATTCTTAAATATTTTTAGATGTCTTTAGGTGTTAACGAAACTTCGTAGTTAGCGTTGATATTTTGTTCTTAAACCTGATATTTTGGATATAAATACAGGTCAGACCGTATACATTCTTACCAGCTTCCTCTATATCCTGTAGATATTCATCACTGTCCAGGACGTTGGTGGTGGTAGTGGCCTGTGTGGTGGTTGTAGTAGATGTGGTGAGCTTGGTGGTGGCAGGTCGTCGCCGGCTGGCTACGCGGAACGGACGTCGAGAGATAGACGCTGCTGTTGTCGATGATACCGAAGTCGTTCTGCTAGTTGCTGTTGAAAATCGTACTAATATTATAAATGCGAAAGTTTGAATGTATGGATCGATGTTTGTTATAGTTTATAGACTAAACAGCTGAAGAAATCTCGGTGAAATTTAGCATAGATGTAGAGCATAGTCTGGAAGGACACATAGGCTACTTACTTTTTTTTTTAATTCCACGCGGACGAAGTCGCGTACGAAAGCTAGATTCCATTATTATCTAAGGTTATTTAATTAACTTTTGCGTGATTTTTAAAAATCAAAGTTATGTGACAATATTGTAAACATTTTGTACCAAAATTATTCAAATATCGTTTTATAAATTATAAATGTTATGTCTATTTCATTCCAAAGGTATTTAATATGCATAGCCATTGTTACTTCGGAATGTAATACTAATAAATAAGTACATTTACTAGCGCGTAAATATGCATAACGGAAACATTGCGAATGATAATTGTCAAGGTGCACCACTAGGAAGTGGCGAGTGACTCAGTTATTTACATAAAAACTATGTCAGTGTACCTGTGTCTATGCTCTAGTTCAATTGTTAGCCAATAACGTTTACATTACAAAGATCATGTATCTTTACATTTTTTTTTACTTTATTATTACGTGTACAGCGAAGGAAACTATATCTATACTAATGTTATAAAGAGGAAAGATTTGTATTTTTGTATGTATTGAATAACTCAAAAACTGGGCCGATTTAAAAAAAATCAAAATATTACAAGCTGCATTATCTGTGAGTAACATAAACTATGTTTGTCATTATTTTTTTATTTTACGAGGACGAAGTCGCGATGACGTAAAAAATAAACTTCTTTATTTCGTCTTTCTAGTACCAAAAAAAAATTAGTACGCATGGTATCACAGAAACATAAAAAAATTCACTAGTAAATATATAGTGTTTAGTATCGACGTGAAATCGAAGAAAGTTAAGCATAAAAGGCAACACAAGGCGCGTCGCTGAGCCATTTAAGTCGACTGGTTCTCGGAGACTCTGCCATAGTTTGAAGAACTTTCCTTACATATAAAGTTAACAGGAAGCTGATGTTACTTTGCTTGTTTTAAACATGTTTTTAATTACTTTAGTTGAATATAATAATATGATAAGTTGGTGATAAAATAACAATTTAAAGAAGTAATCAGATAGCAGCAACCGATCAAGTCAAGGTTCGGCCCTCTCGGGCCCCCTTGAATCGGAATGTTAAACGCGTATTGAGTGACAGCCCAAGCCGAGGTCCCCTCTCGGGGGCCCTTGTACCTAGTCACTCCATAGAGCGTTCACCGAAGCGATCTAAGAGCTCGGTGGCCTCCCAATCCGGTAATAATAACGAAGTAACGGCCCGTGCCGAGGCTCCTGAGGAAGCCCTCGAGCTTAGTTACTCATAAACGAGATTTAGGCTAAGTGCCATCTGCGCTCGGCCACCTCAAGCCCGGTGAATCTGTAAATGCCTCTTCAAGGCAAACAGTAGCCATTCAGTCACAAAAAAAAACTTTTAAAGAAAATTAATCAAAAGACCAACAGCTTTTCGCTTCCAGGTTTTTACTGTTTATCCAATGGTTGTTGGTAAATGAATCAGAGCATAAACTAGATATTTTCCAACAGAAATGAGGCAGCAATTAAGAATCAAAGTCTACTTTTTGTCACATATCTAACGTCTAACATCAACGTGTTCAGTGTTGCAATGGAAACTTCGCAAAGAAAACACCGCAGCCGCGACAAAAGTTATGTCGCAAGCAATTATAGGGCCTATTACGTTAGGAAATAGGTCGTTTTCCCACGACTTTATTTACTGCTATAACGACACTGTCTAGATAATAACGTTTCGTATCAAAGAAGAAATGTACAAAATATTAGTTACGTAGTGAAACTATTTTTTATAATTCCATTAGTGTTTAACTTCTTACCGATAGCGCGGCAGCCAAAAATACAAAACCTTTAACTAACATCAAACCAACTTTATTAAACTTTTTTACATTTAACTACTATAATACAACTGAAAACTATACCGATTACATCTCGTTTTTTGTGCGCTTCCTTTTCTTCTTCTTTGTTTTTACTACCTTTTTAATTTTTATTAACCAATCGCGTAAAAGTCTCGGTGGCCAGTATGCACCTTCTTTGGCTGTATTCATATTTCTTGTCAACCAAAGAGGTTGTATTTTGAACAGCACAATTAGTATTCGCCGTTAATTGCCATGGGAGTCATCAGTTGAACAAAGGAGACAGGCTTATGGTAAAGTTTATTTTTATTCTTAAAGTGGGGGTGGGGGTGAGCCTGTCAATATGTAATAGGAGGTGAGGCAGCTTACCTCCGGCTTCGCTTAAGCTTGGCAACTATTAAATCAAGGAGTTAGTCACTGAGGCGACGGAGCGGAGAGATGTAGAGAAAGTCAGCACCGGCCCGTGACCGACAGACGGACAAACAGACTTTCATCATTTATGTAACGTTAGATAATGACCAAAACTTACGGCTCTTTTTGTTTATCTTAATGATACATAAAGAATGTGTTTATGTGTTTATAGTCAAGGTCAAACTGATTTTATTTTTAATTTATCATTTATTTATGGATTTTATTCTAAAGATGGACGAATGTATACTCGTATTAAAACAGAATATTTCCACTATTGGAAACTACACGTTTTTTAAATAATAACACTTCTTTTAAGATCAGTTCTTTATAAGTTTAAACTTTTTGTTGATTTTGTATATTAACATACGAAGCTATAGAAATTATTTTCATACAAGTACATTCTGTTTGTACGAATTTCATGTTTTCATTCACAAGCGTCTATAGTTGTTAAGGTTAACAGGCGTGAAGTTAACGTGATGCCACAACAAATCTTTATGTTTATTCATAGAGAAAGTACGCGGTAATTTCTCTCGTGTTAACGTATGAAAAACACTATTGTTTAGCCGTTCACCGTAAACATAATGGAACAAGATACCATCCTATGCCATCGATTTTGCTTGTATTACGAAAAAGAAAAAACGTTCCAGTATTAAAATATACTATTTATAGAGATATAACCTAATATTTTTCATACGAACGCTTCCGCTGTAAACCTACAGATCTTTTTATAAACAGATAACCTTATTATTATGTTAATCATACCAGCCAGCTATAGTCAGTGCTGCCAGACGTACAGCTTACCCAACAATACAGCGATAATTGACGGAGCGGCAAATAATGCTATTGTTTACTTATTTAGCGAGTACTTTATAAACGATCCGACCATGAAATACAATGTTGTGATAAAAACTCTTGGATTTGTATCAAGAAACAAATATTACCTTCTTAAAACTTGAATCTTTCATGATAATTTATTTCAAATACTATTTATTTAAAACATTTTATAAAAACCACCGTAATTAAAACACATGTAATAGGCCAAATAAAAACAAATCGAAAACTTTTAAGTACTGGTCATAGATAAAAACAAACTTTATTACGTCTATGGCGCGACCACAGATACAATAAAAAATAAAAGGCATCAGTAGTACGACAAAGGGTTTCAACACGGTTGCATCGTAACATATTATAATTCAAATGTTATACAACGCTATTGTTTGATATTTAAACATTTCACAAACGCGTAAGCGATTTGGACGACTTTTTTATTTTTACCCGAGGAGGACAGTTCCGCGGTAATTATGTAATTATATTATGGCAACATTGTGCGTTGGCATTGTTAAACGTTTTTATATTTAAAAAAAAACATTAACCAGATAAATTACAGAAACTAAATGGTGTATATTTATGCTTTTTGTTTAGCATATAAGTTCTAAAAACTTCCGAGAATCGCACCAGAACTAGCCTAAGCTAAAAAAATCCCGCGTTCATTAACTTTAGATAATAAATCACAAATATACGATACATGTGTAATCGCGCGTGATTATGACAGTTCAAAATGGCCGCATATATTCACAGCTAAAGATCTGTGAAATTGGCTTGTCTAACGCAACCGATATAATGCAATAACGCCAATATATGATTGTAGGCGACGTCGGTCGCGTGAGAATTATATCTACACCTGATATCGAAGCATTCATGAATATTATTTAAAACTGTTCTGTCGAAATTTTACACGGGAAGTCGTCATGGATGTATGCGAAACTTGCTTGATTGCATATCATTGATTGCTTGAAGAATTCATATTGTGGAAAGAGATATCATTGCCTTAAAATCAGATTAAAACCTAATCTATCGAATAGGAAAGCAGTTAGCTAATATATTATACATATAATGTGTAACAATAAGCCTAGAAAAAGTACAAAGGAGCATGACAGAATATAGCCACCTCCCACCTAGTCAGGCTGATAAAAATAAAAAGAAAACAAAACAGCTTTATTACTTTTCCCCTTGGTCAGGAGACTAATGTCCAAACTAGGGTGGCGCCCTGTGTAATGGATCACAAGGCCCCGTCCCACAGACCACAATGAAGTGTTGATGTGTGATAAAGGGGGCAGAAATATCTCCTAGAGCGTCAGTAGAGCTACATAGGTTTATCTAACGTTCTGTTACTGAAGACACAGGGAAAGGTAACAGGCTCTTATTAACAACCGTAATTACAACACTGTTTTAATATATTGGTTTAGTAAATTATTACGGATTTTGTATTTTATACATTAAATTGCAAATTATAGTTTTTTATCCTTCGATGAGTACTATTTTTTATAATTTAAATGTAAAATGGCTTCCATTAAAACGATAAAGCCAGCTATAGAAGGATTAAGCGGATTTAGTTTTGTCGTAATTAAAAGCGGTTCAGTACATATTTCAGAGACAAAAGTTGGGTTTTATATCGTTTTGTTTTTTATTATTTCAACTAGTTAGATGATTTTATAACAGTCAAAGTATTTTTTAAAAAGAAGTCTAAGATTGAAAATCATTGCTACGGCTCTTTGTATCAATAATAAAAAGCAAAACAGAAAAAAAGAGAGGCTCTTATAACATTTGGATAATTTCTGGACATGAACATGAAAAGTCGAGGTCTGAACACACGTTACACAACAGTTATCAGTTTACACGCGATACTGAACGTGTTATGCGTAACTTATATAAGTGAGTGCGATACTAAAACAGCCTAATAACAATAACATTCGTGTTACATAAAAGATTTTAGAGAACCAATTGAGTATATCATGCGGTAAAATTGATAAGCGCTTAGAGAAATGAATCTGACTGCGTATTTTCTATCATGGGACTAACCTAATTTGAGTTGAATATATTATTTTTAAAAGTAAATCTATAAAAAAACAAAGATTGGGATTAAATTTTTATCTTTTTGTTGGTCCGTTTGTAATAAATACATTTTGATTTGTCTTCAATATTTGGTTTAGCTTTTTTATTTATTTTTCTAGCCTTGATAAATGTACACTTTCAGAAATGTGAAACATTTGTGAAATTAAAAGTGAAACTGCGAACTGAAGTCGTCACAAGTATCGTTATTGAACCTAGAAATTATATACAAATAGCTTTAGCCCGCGACTCCGTCTGCGTGGAATTAACTAAGTAAGTAGCCTAGTTGTTCTTTACTATCATCTACATGTATAAGATCAGACATCGAGATACGTTCAGTCGTTTAGGCTACAAGCTCTAACAATCCATCTATACTTTCGCGTTTAGAATATAAGTATGATATGATGTAATTTATATTCATCAGCGCTAATTCAAAAGAAAGTCGTAATAATAATTCTTGTCACAATATACAGCCTGACTTGACAGCAGTAAGAAAATCGTAATTAAAGATGGCAAGTTTAAAAATTGCTTTTAATACTTTTTGACTACGTGAGGGCGTGGCAGTGCCACTGCTAAAACGAGCACGTCAGAAATATTAATCAACTTCAAAAAAGGAAAAGGATTCTTATATTAGTTCAAAACCTCGTTTCTGATGCAACGATTTTTAGCAGCTCAAGACACTTTTGACAGCTGGACTTTTGGTTGCCTAACAGGACGCGAACTATATTTAGAAAGGTTGATAATATTGATATGATATGGTCACACTAATTAATATTCATAAGACGTCTGCTATTTCATATTTAACAGAGAAAGCTTCGGATGTAAAACTGGTCGTGCCTATCGGCTGTTAGACGCGGGACTGGTACTACGAGTATTTGCATGTCATTGGTAAAACTCGATGTTGTCGGCCTCGACGGAGGTCTGTGACTGTTCAAAGTTAATGTACAAAGAAGATCTGTTATAACCTGAACGTTTTTTTATAAGAGAAGGGGCAAACGAGCCGCGGGAACATAGAACACAGAACGTGGTACTAAAATTCGCGCGTGTCACGAAAGGTCACTTCATGACGACATTAACGCTATTTAGGGCCTGTCCCACCAAATTGTAAATTGTCTGATAATCCAACGAACGTCTAAAATATGTGATGGAACAATCGGGTTTTGTTCCCTTATGTGAGAGAACGTTCTCAAAGGTATAGAAAGACCGAAGAAAATATAGATTGATTGTTTGAAAGAAGATATGCTTAAGAAACGAGTGGATTCAGATGGAACGTAAGGGATAAGGGCAAGTGGAAGATGTGACAGTTACGTCATTTTTAAGCTATCTGAGCTATCAGCCAGAGGGACGGGCCCCGTAGTGTAATCTCCCTACTACTAGGAGGATAATTTCGAGTGTTACTGGGGCAGAGTAACACCAACAGTATCTATTTGAAGTGTTATTTCTAATTTATTCTAACACTCTTTTATAGCTTAAAAACGTGATGTGCAACACGTTTTGATATCACACGTAACCTTGAGTTCATTTTGATTGCTTAAAGATTCTGAATTTATTAAAATTAATTGACTAATTTCGCTATTCTTAGATATTTATATGGAAATTGATAGAGTAATAAGAAATTATTTCTACATTTCATCGTGTGATATGAATAATTTTACATCACGAACATAAATCGACAATTTGAAAAATAAACTATGATTTATCTAGATAAATGAAATAATTTACAAACATCTTATAATTAAGAAACCGTCGATTGTTTGTAACAAATCAATTCCCGCCTTTTTCCAACGCAGCTAAGAGGTTTAAAAACAAATAATATTTACTCCTAGCTGTCCCCATGCGACTTCAAACGCAGGAAATTATAAAAACTTTATTTTATTGTTGACATTTGTCAAATTATCTATTGCAAATGTCAAAATGACATGACATGATGACAATCCATGGCAATCTTGTTTCCTTAATGTTGGCAGTAACTTATGGTCTCTTTCCCTCATTAGTATTTATATCAAATTTATTTACCCACTAAGTTTAATAGCGTGAAAATATATAGCCTAAAGCGTGACGTAATAACAGATATTTTTTTTTAAAAAGGATTAATCAAAAATATGCTATAATTGCTGACATCTTAGGCAACAAAGAAGTGTGTGTTTACGCTTTATTATAATATAGTATAGATAAGAGTTACCTCAATGGTGACTTGCTATAATAAAATATTTGTTTACATAGTCACGGTCATTGGTTTCCTATTATAAATACAATTGACCATTAATTTATTTCCTTATTGCGTAGTATTATTGCTATAGTTGTATACTTATTGTTGTAGAATTGTTAGCGTTCTGAACACACGCAAATTCCTTTATAATCAGTTTTTTTTGTTCATCAATGAGATTGTTTTGTATAAAAGGTTATTTAGGTATTGGAGTCAACTACGCTGTCCATAGTAATTCATATATCCGATAATCTACAATTGCGAGACCTACACAGATCTATGAACCCAGACCCACCCAGCTCGTACAATAATTAATAAAACATGAAACGCAGATATAGATTGTATTACGACGTATTAAAAGCTAAAAAGGGATGCAGTATTTGAAAGTGGTGTAGCTGGTTGTGTTACAAATAAAACCGGACTCACAGTTCGCCCCACCAAAGCGTCTTCGCGCGGCAAAATTGCGCGGCGTCGGTCGGTCACTGTTGGAAAATGGCCGCCGCGTTTGTACGTCTGTATCGTTTTCCCGCGTTTTCTCAATTTGCGGAACAATTTCGGCGGCATCTTTTCGTGACTTGAACCTGGAGTTGCCTCGCCTTGTGTATTTGTTCGTGGTTGTTTCCACATTGTCCGGTGCTGCTGTGTTCGAGTCCGTGGTGATGGGAACCGTCGTGGGCTTGGTGCGCCGGAGGAAGTTTGTTCGCGGTACCTGTGGACAAATAAACAACCGGTTAGTTTTATTTTTATATAGATTTTCCATTTATATTAACATACAGATAGTTTATTTGTATTTTATGGTTATAACAAAAATTTTATCTTAACTTTAATAGGAGTCTTAATAATAATTTTATAGACAAATACTTAAACATCTATACACGACTTAAATATAACTAAAATAAAGTACTAAAATAATATATTATAATAAATAAATTAGACAAGTTTAAAGAACAAGACGTTATCCTAAAAATTAAGAAAAAGTTGTTTTTGTAGCTTACATTTGAAAAATTCTGACAAGCTTTTCTATCTTAAACTTATATTGAAGTTATTACATAGGTACTTATATTTTTAATAGTTAACCGTTATTCAAAGCCCGTTTTTAACAAAAATATATATGTTAGAGAAATAATATTTTTTGTTTTCCTCAAGACAATTTGTTAAAACAAAATTGTTATTTATACAGGGTTTTTGCTTTGATTATAATATGAATAACAACGGCATTGAAAATATTATTACTTTAGAGATATAAATATCCGTTTGTGGTCAATTTATAGGACAGTACTTCTGTAAGTTAGAACGTGAGACTGCGGTTAAGATCGTGGTTAAATTACAAGCTTAGAAACAACTGCGCAGTTACATACTAATGACTGCGGCTTCGTTTTTTATATACATTTTATTTCTCGTAATAAGATTTTATATGTGCACATATGCTACTAATAAATATTTCGATTTTATACAAAGTTTTTCTATTTAAAATATTTGAATAGTCCTTGTACTATTTTACATAATACAACATTGATATAAAACTTTTACAATCAAATACATTTCTGTTTTTGATAGTTGATTGTTAGTTAAGTTTAGTAATAAAGCAGTAATGGTTGTCGTATTGAAGATTGTGTTGTTTTACGTTTAATGCAGTAATTTATTCTAGTGCGGAAGACTGAAAGTGAATGCTGGTCGCTTCTCCGCCGTTCACCTCTCGAATCAAATGCTTACAATAATATATAGTTATACAGTACGTTTCCACTGTCAATAGAGATGTGTTTAAATATTTTTGTGTCCCTTTTACTCCCTTTGATAAACCAGAGACAACGATATCCATATTAAAGATTTCTGTAGTTATGAAATCATAACCTATAATTATGAAGAATTTCGTTTGTGTCATAACTTTGCATAAAAATTAACATAAACCATTAAGGAGTACAATTACGTCAATTTCAAACAATTCGCTTACGACTTGCTTCGCTGCTATGTAAATTTAAACCGCAATAATTAAGAGTGTGCGTTGAAAATGGAAATAAGTTTATATTGAGTTAAATAAAAACGTGTAACGCTTTCGTTTTTTATGGTTTTTCTACTAAAATCTACTATGGAAATAGTTCATTATCTATACTAATATTATAAAGAGGAAAACTTTGTTTTTTTTGCAATGAAATACCACAAAAACTACTGAGCCGATTTCGAAAATTAACCATTAAAAAACTACATTGTCAGTGAGTAACATAGGCTATGTTTTAATATTATTTTTCTAATTTCACCTGGATGGAGTCGCGAAAGCTAGTTTTAAACTCAAAAGCAAAGGAATAATAAAACACAACATGTGTTTAAACATTTATTTGCATTTAAAAATGTAAACAAAATTAAGTAAACTAGGGATATAATCAAGTCTAAAATTATTCTATAAAAATTCTAGTTCAAAAATAAAACGTATACGCAAACAAAAATCCAGTTTTATTTCTAAACAAGTTGAGATGATCTGAATTTCCATTACCACAACTATATATACCCCTGAACTTTTGACTTCTGCCGTCTATCTCTAGTTCAATTTGGCAATCTTAAATTGACCAACAGATCATTTAATTCTTGTAATTATAGATGCCTTACGTTATTAATAATATTTTTGTAAATTTAAATAGAAAGTAGTCTAAGCATTCGAGAATAATGGAATGTAGAGAATCATCTGTTAGTTTTTTAGGTTATTTTTATTGCAATATAAAATTTCAATTTATTTAACTGATGTTATTTTAATCTTAGTACTTTGTAAAGGTATCTACAAATTCAACCTGGTGTTATGTTAAACCGAGTTATCTATATCTGTACTAATATTATAAAAATGATTTGTATTTTTGTATGTGTTGAAATAACTCAAAAACTACAAGGCCGATGTCAAAATTCTTGTACCATTCAAAAGCTACGTTATCACTGAGTAACATAGGCTATATTTTTGAATGACTTCCCAAAAGAAGGAGGTACTCAATACATCTGAATGTTTTTTTTTTTTTATGTGTCTTACGGATTAACTCCGCCGCTAGTGGACCGATTTTGATAATTCTTTCTTTATCCGAAAGGTAATGCTTGCAGGTGGGTCCCAATTTTTTGGTTGATTTTTTACTATTATATTTTATAATATGACGCGCACGAATTCGCGCGATAACCTAGTATTATCTAATTTTGTGGATATTGTTTATTTTATAACCGCAATATAAAATTAATTTGATCGACAAACAGCGAATAAAACATAAATTGAATACTGCAATACTAGTAACATACTCGTAGATCACGTGTTTCGTAACCATAAAATATAAATCGTATAGATAAAGTTAGCTGGAGGTAAATGACATCAATAAATTTTAACAAGCTTCGAAATTTTCGTATACTATTTTTATCACGCATTTTATTATAAATATGTAAGTAACTTACGCAATTATTATGCAACAGTTAAGTAACCGTACAATGAAATATTAAAAAAAATAATCTATCAGAAAATTTACATATGTCTTAACACTTTTTGATATGTAAATCACGTGTGCAGTTATTTAAAAAAGCACTTAGCTAACTATTTTACGATTATGAGTGACCATTGAAATAATTTAGTAGAAAGTTCAATATTAGGAGATGTAGAATTGTACTAAACATTTACTAATTTTAGTAATCAAAGTAGATATTTAGGAAGATTTTGATTGCAATCTGTAGTTATAAATAACATGTAAATATCTTGAATTGCATAAACATTATTGTATGTTTTCGAATGAACATGTATGATTGATTGTTGTCCGAAAATATGGGCCATGGTCTATGGCGATTTCTAAGTATTGCTTAAGGTTGATTAGAATTATAAGAATTTAATACATGTTAGTTTTAGATAAACATTTACGATACTCAACATTACTAAAAAAAATGGGATAGAGTAGTACCTAACTGCTCATTTTATAGTTCTATACTGAATTGCTTTAGGGTTACAAATTTTGGATATATATTAAAAATATGATGAATGATGATCCCAAGGGTTCTCGCGGAAGATCAGCGCTGGGTGCTTCAATCAGAATCATCCAGCATTTATAGCTGAGCTGAGCTAATTATTTTGTATGTCCTGTAATTACGTGTTTATTATTTACTCTTTTTTAATTACTTTGTTGTCTGTTTTTTTCTCTTATTCCAAATTGTGTTGTAGTGGTGATAAGATTAAATGTTATTTTATTTATTTTATTTAAAATAAATCTTTTTATTACGTTTAATTTGATCAAATCTTAAATATTTTTATAGTATTACATATTACGTTAAAAAGAAAATGTTTACGTAACATTTTATCATAACCTAACAATACGCAAACGTTTCGAGAAAAAAAATATTTTATTCGTTGCCAGTATTTTTACATAAGTACTTCTCTGAATTCGTTATCTGTTACACAATCCAATTGGAATTTTCCTCACGCTTAATGGTCTGTGCGTAGGAATGATGGTGTATCATCAGTCCTTATAAAGTAAAGTCTTAGTAACTTAAAGTTTAAAGGTTAGTCAAGTAATAGTAAACTAAATGGAGATAAAATCGGTTGTTACTTTGAAGGTCCGAATGTTAAATAAGAAAACATTAATTTATATATAGTCTTAACAATTTCATTTAAGAAAAGGACATCGCAAAATCTATATCTATACTATTATAATAAAGCGTAAACACACACTTCTTTGTTGCCTAAGATGTCAGCAATTACAGCATATTTTTGTATAATTCTTTTTTTAATCAAAATCCCTACACTTACGTCATGTTTTAGGCTATATATTTTCACGCCGTTAAATTTAGGAGTTAAATATTTTGGATAAAAACCCTCATGGGGGAAAGAGACCATAAGTTGCTGCCAACATCAAGAAAGACAGAATGCTAAGGTTTGTCATGTCATTTAGACATTTGCTATTGATAATTTAACAAATGTAAACAATAAAGTAAAATTTTCATAATTCCATGCGGATGAAGCCGCAGGGGAACAGCTAGTATTTTATAACATCGGTCGTATTAAGAATGTTGCAGATGAAACTTGTTTCTTTTCTAGGCAAATAACGACGTCACTGGCGATACTTTCTAATTTCACTCATCATAATATTATATATTGCCTAAACCTTCGATAACTGCCAATGAAACGGTGATTAAAAAAAATATTCGACTACTAGAATTAATCAGACTCCGTCCGTCCGTAAGTTATCAAAACTTTAAAGTCTATGTTTTATGACCATGTTATATTACCGTTACTATTACCAGATTAATAAATAAAATATTTATTTTCTTATAATCTATACTATTATAATAAAGCGTAAACACACACTTCTTTGTAGCCTAAGATGTCAGCAATTACAGCATATTTTTGAATAATTCTTTTTTTAATAAAAAGCCCTAAACTTACGTCACGCTTTAGGCTATATATTTTCACGCCACTAAACTTAGGGGGTAAATATGTTGGATGAAAACCCTAATGTGGGAAAGAGACCATAAGTTGCTGCCAACGTCAAGGAACCAAGGTTGTCATCATGTCATGTCATTTTGCAATTGATAATTTGACACATGTAAAAAATATAATAAATTTTTCATAATTTAATGCGGACGAAGCCGCACGGGAACAGCTAGTATAACATAAATAATTAAGTTAAAGTAGTCGGCATTATTACAGAATATGATACATTATTCAGCATTTTATTAATTTAGGAAACAAATTTAATTAAGGTCGTATTGTCTATTAAAGCATAC